CATTCCTAAATCTTTCCTGTGGATTTCCAATTGAAAGTACAATCATGGTTGTTAAAATCGCGATCCAAATCATGTACGATCCTACTTTGCCAAAATGATCTAGATCGTTGTAGGATCGATGTTATAATAGGATCGCAAGTAGGATCGCATGGGATCATATAGGATCGCAAGTAGGATCGTAGATTTTATGATTTTTCACTTTATTTTTAATATGCATCATTTTAATTTTAATTTTTATCTTTTTTTTTAATAGAAAGTAGGATCTTACGATCCTCGATCCGATCCACCAGAACCTCTCACCGATCCTACTTAGGATCCCAATTTTAACAACCTTGAGTACAATACTTTAGTGGTATCCTCACAATTACAAAGGAGAACCATTTTGTTGTGATAAGCAATTTCCTCTTCCAAAAAGAAAGTAGGGAGATGGGTAGTTCTATAAGGTGATATTTTGTGGAAAGTAGGCCAATGTTTGGCACCTTATAAAGTGCAACTCACTCATAACCTCTTTTACAATTCTGTTTGTGAAAGTTTTATTCTTTTAGCTAGTGGAAAATTCTTTAAGGTATGCCCATGCCATACAAGTTTTGTCTTAATTGTTTGCTTTTATAATACATTCTCACTCTTTTGTTGCACGATATATATATATATATATACATGTGAATAGTCCTGACTCCTGACATATAAATTGTTTTTATTTCTCAATTTTGAATTTGCTGAGTGATGCAGAGTGTATAAAACTGTTATGACCCTACAACTATTATATATTTTCCAAAAAAAATCATAAGTTTGCAAGCTTTGAAGAAGAGATTTCCTTTTAAGATGGATTTATTTTTCTGCAGGTTGTTGAGTTTGCCCTGGCTTTGCAGAAAGCTGGGTGTTTTTCTGTTGTTTTGGAATGTGTGCTTGCACCTGTTGATGCTGCTGCAACATTTGCTCTTCGAATCCCTACAATTATTATTGGGGTAAGGCCTTTCTATATTGGCCAAGTTAATTGATTCTTTAGCTCTCTCTACTGCTCCTAATGATGAATTAGATTTGACTGGCTTGTGTTGTGTATAATTTTTTTGCTTTCACTTGTACATATAATTTGCTATTTGATCTTGTAATTTGCTTTTCAAGTACTAAAGTGGGCATTTTAGTGATATCATGTGTTCATATATTGAACTTTGCATTTGCTTTTCTTCTCTCTCTCTCTCTCTCTATATATATATATATATTAAAAATAACCTTCTATGGCATACAAAATTATGTTGTGAAAAGTGTAATAATTTATGACATGTAAGAAAATGTTGTAAAAGATTATATATGGCATACAAAGTATGTCATAAATATACTGAAAATAAATTTTTACGGCATATAAAATTATGTCGTGAAAAGTGTAATGATTTATGACATGCAAGAAAATGTCGTAAAAGATTATATACGACATACATAGTATGCCATAAATATATTTAAAATAACCTTCTACGGCATGCAAAATTATGCCATAGAAAGTATAATGATTTATGGCATGATAAAAATGTCGTAAAAAATTATATACGACATACAAAGTATGCCATTAATGCTTAATTTATTACTTTTTACAATTTACCTGCATGTCGTAAATGACGCTCAACTTTCTACGGCATGTCATATAACGACATTTGTGTGCATGCTGTGAAAGAGTTTTTACGGCATGTAATGCAAGCCGTAAAAATTCAATTTTGTTGTAGTGCGTGTTTGTGTTCTTGGACATTGGAACTGGAAAAATTTGACACTTAATATTCATATCCACATTCAGTACCCATACATGAGTCCATGCAACATAGGAAATAGATTTGTGTCATGTTATTTAATTTTATCTTCTGACAACTATCAAGATTGTTTATAACGCTATGAATTCTGTTATGGTTTGATGTCTGTAGTGAGTGACATGATTTTTCATCTATGGTCACTATAACAAAATTGAATTTTTACGGCTTGCGATGCATGCCGTAAAAAATCTTTCATGGCATGCACACAAATGTCGTTATATGACATGCCGTGGAAAGTTGAGCATCATTTACGGCATGCAGGTAAAGTTGTAAAAAGTAATAAATTAAACATTAATGACATACTTTGTATGTTGTATATAATTTTTAACGACATTTTTGTCATGCCATAAATCATCATACTTTTCGTGGCATAATTTTGCATGCCGTAGAAGGTTATTTTAAAAAATTAATGGCATACTTTGTATGTCGTGCATAATATTTTACGACATTTTCTTGCATGTCATAAATCATCACACTATCCACGACATAATTTTGTATGCCGTAGAAGGTCATTTTTAATATATTTATGACATACTTTATATGCCGTATATAATCTTTTACAACATTTTCTTACATGCCATAAATCATTACACTTTTCACGGGGAAGTTATTTTTAATATAATATATATATATATATATATAAGAATATGACCTTGCCTAACCGTATGTAGACAGTAGCTTATAAAATGCAACCTGTTACAAACCATTACTTTGATCCTACAAAAATTAAGAGTATATAAGCATACTGCATAACATTCATCCCATTTACAAAGTATTAGTTCAACAAAGGAAATGAAAGTGTCAAAAATCTTCAACGAGAACTCACTTATATATGTCATCAATGTCAATGTCAGAAAAGAAAATTTCAACATGATGAATACATATTTTGAGGTGGTCACACTTATGAGTCTACTCAACCTAATGAATTTATAAAAACTAAATGGACATTCTAATTCAAGTGGATCTCTAATAAGTCCCTCAATTTTTCACTAAAGAACACAAGAAGATGATTTTGGAGTCCTCATTATGAACTATACGAACTTCATGAATCTATGATTGTTAAGTAGAGAGGCAAATCAAATAAGCTACCTAGTACTAGAGAATCATCTCACATAAAACATATGTTTTGCAACTAAAAAATGGGGAAGACAATAATGTAAATTTTGTAATTAATTAAGCTACTTAGTACTGATTGTATACATTAAAAATGTTTTTTGTTTTTAAGAAAGATTCTCATAAAAAAGCACAAAACTAGTGAAATAAGATGCATAGTTTATCATAAAACTTCATTAATTAGTGAACATGAAACAGGAAACAGAGAAACAGAGAATTTGTCTATAAGATGCAAGTTTTGAAGACTTAAAACTTCATTAATTAAGTCTTCCTTCATTAATTCAATTGACAACTCAGGGAAGTCAGGCATTGCAATATGTTATTGTTAATAAATGATATCTTAGAGTATGTATAGAAAAAGAAATGCATAAAAGCAATAGATCTCGATTTATTCATATGCAAATTTAAGCCATTTACTATTAACTTATTTGTACTTGCTGTCCATATTACCACATTTCAAATGGGAGAGTCGGAAAAGCCATGGTTTAAAAAAAAATGCCCAATTAGTACACATTAATGTGTGTTTGAGAAGGGAAAGATTGAGTACATACCTAACAGTGTCCTTATCTAAGGAGAAGGGGGGTTTGGCCATTGGTAATATAGTGACTAGAAACATGGCTTTGCTGGGCAAGTGGTTATGTCGATTCCCCAATGAGTGTGGTTTATTATGGCATGCAGTTATTAAAATTAAATATGGGATTCAGGTTAATGGTAGGGACTCTCAAGTGGTCTCGAGGGGTAGCGGACGTGCTCCTTGGAAGTCCATTTCTCAGATTTATCCAGTTTGGTCGCGATTCATTTCTGTGAGGGTGGGTAATAGGGAAATGGTCAAATTTTGGGAGGATGTTTCGGAGGGCTCGACGTCCTTCGCTGAGTCCTATCTACTTCTGTATGGCGTTTCTTAATCTCATAATTGTTCTGTTGCGTCTGTGGCGGGTTCTTTGGTGGTTCCTTTATCTTGGAATTTTAATTTTCATCAGAATCTTCATGACAGGAAAGTTTCGGAATTGATTTCTCTTTTGTCAAGGCTTGAAAATGTTTCTTTGTCTCCAATGTTGAAGGATAGGTTGGTTTGGAATATTCATTCGTCGGATTATTTTACTTGTAAGTCCTTTCTTGATAAAATCATTGATACTTCTCATGTTCCTCAGTTTCTATTTCATAACAAGATTTGGAAGGCATGTGCTCCTCTCAAGGTGAAAGTGTTCATGTGGATCTTGGTTCATGGGGGCACTCTGACAAATGATTCATGGGGGCACTCTTTTTTCTTGGGCTTGAGCCTTAATAAATCTTTGTTTGTTGCTGATAAAACAAAAAAAAAAAAAACAGGTAGAATGAACATGATGTCAATTTGGAAGGATACTACGTAATACCTTGGCAAGAGTCTTTTCTACTTTAAAACAACAACCATGGTTATTTTCCATACATCTGAAAAAAATGTAAACTTTCTCTACAAAAAACATGATTTTACCACACAAAGAGGGTCATAACCAGCTCTTATATGTTAACCCTACGTTAGAAGTTGGAATCAAGTTTTTACAATTCAAAGTACAAGACAATGATGCCCTAAAAGCCATCTATTAGGTTATATGATGCATATCTATTCCTGCCAAAGAAAATTCATTACAAGGAGTTATGGTCGGCAACACTTTATAGGTAGTTATGCATGATAGACAGGTCCTAAAGACATATATCCATTCCATTATTAGTCGTTGGTACCATGCAGACTGCTCACAAGAGTCAGGGAACCAAACATAAATGAGAAAGTACCAACAAGATGACCAGGAAGAGAAAGCAATTTCATTTACACAAGAAGCAGTTTCCAAGCAACACAATTTTGCATACCTAGATATTAAATTTATGTGCTCACAACTCTTCTAAATAGTTCCATCAAAACAACAAATCTACGTGGTGTATATTTAATAGTAACAAAGTAGTGAACTTCTAAGTCTTAAAAACAAATAGCTATGGCAACAGTAGCAGCAGCAGAAGTAACACAATAAATCACAATAATGGTGTTTACAGTATCATTTATAGTAATCAGAAAGCAAATAGCTAGTTCTAATCAATTCTCACACACAACATTGTGGCTCACCTTCGAGCTGACAGTAGGAGTTGCTCTGCATCTGAATACTTCTTCCTTTCAATTAATGAACAAGCAGTGTTGTACGCCAACTTAAAGCTGCTAGTTGCTTTTACTCTGAGAGCCTCCATCACTCCTTGCACTTCGGAAGCCCTCCCAGCAGAAAGCAAACCAGCAATAAGATTTATCTCCAATGACTCTATCTTGGTTTTCTGAAGCTTTTGATAAATATCCAAAGATGTATCCAATTTTCCCAAATGAAATAGAATCTGAGATTGTAACAGCATAGTTGCAGAACTTCCCTCTTGGCCTTCCAATGATGCTAAAGCTTCATTTAACTTATTTTGTCTGTAGAAGCAGTATGCCTATTTTGAAATGACAAAAGTTCAAACATACGGATTAAGAGATTACTAATGCCTGTTATAGAACAATTTATACAGATAAATCATAAGGAAAATAAACATTCACATTTAATTCAAAGAAAAAAATCTAAAATGCATGAATCCTTCGAAACATATGTTAATAGATGACATAGTAACCAAATGGTTTTCTTTTTCTTTTGGGTAGGTAAAAATCACTAAATCACCAAAGTACTTAAAAAAACTAAAAGCGCCAAAAAGGACACAAACTCTGTACACCGGAAGTATACAACAAAAAACTAAAACCCGTCCACCAAATTAAGCTCTCCCATAAAGTCTATCAAAGAATACTAAGCCAAAATAAAATGCACAAACTAATGACAATTGCACATATATAAGCATAGTGAAAAATTGCAGCTAATTACCATATAGGTGCCAATTTGTATACAAAGTGTTCCAAAAATCATCTTGCATGGCTAACTTAGTCGTATTATTGAGACTAGATTCTTCATAATACAGGGGAAAAAGAAATAAATACTTGAAAAACAAATTTTAAGAAGAAAAACAATACAGCATGTTTAGTAAAAACTCATACAATGAAGCAGAGTTTTGCTAAACCTACCCTACCAAATGGGATTATTTCGATCTTGAATACTAATAGGAGCTCAAAATAGATGAGGCAACCAACATACATTTGTTAAACCACATCAGTTTAATACCTAACTGCCTAGCATGTGCTTAACAAAGAATGCTAAGGCCAATAATACATCAACATAAATTCTTCAAATTGCTTTACACTCCATGATAACAAAAACTAATAATTTTGCACCAACAAACACATTTTAAAATCTTAAATCAACAGATACACCATTGAATCAGTGAACAAAGCTCATGTTTTTTACCTTGAAGAAATTGAAATCAATCGGAAGCCTTCGAGAAGACTCAATAGTCGAAAGAGCTTCATCGATGCTATCAGCCTTGATTAAAGCCATGATTTTGCAACGAATCGCGTCCTCATCGTTAGAGACAATTGATAGAACTGCAAAAAAAAAAAAAACACAGATTCGATCCAAATTTCTAGAAAAAACACAAACAAAATGAACTTACAATCATACAAACATGAATAATGACCTTGATCTGCGACTTTGACAGCTTGCTCGTACTCCGACCGTTGGATGTGCCGATTGAGAGTGGTGAATAGATCTTCAACGGCGATTGCAGGCTTTGAAGCTTGCAATTGCGAGGGTTTCGGCTTCTCTTTTGGCTTTGGAGCCATTGATGCTAGCTTTGATTCGGTGTGCAAATTTGGACCTTGCTCTTCTACGATTTGCAGGCGACGACGTATGTATGCGAAGTTGCAGGGATTTGTTTGCTAACGTGCGCTGTGATGTGTTTGTGGTTTGGGCTTTAATCAATGCTCCTCACTCTTCCTTACCTTTATACGTATTGGCCCCGAGATACCAAAACTGGCCCAGCCATTGTTGGGTCGTAAAAACAACCAATAATTTGTTTATTTATTTATTTTTATCTTAACAATTTATTTATGAATGAGAATTACAGTAAGGGGTGGTTTAAGGTTGTTTATTAAGTGATTTTCTTTTTTTTTTTCTTTTTCTTTTTTTGTTGCTGTGAAACAACGTATAAAATCGTAGATAAGTGATATTATAATTTGTAGTAAATAAATAAATCTTAAAATTTGAAACTGAATAATTAATCCTCTCGAAATATTATTTTATTACAATTAATTATTTTCGTTACGATTTTGTTAAAAATTTACAGAAAATTATATCATGTATAAAACATTTGACACGTTTATTAATTTTTTTTACCACAAGAATAAATTATAAAAAATTTAAAATATAAAGGGTCAAAATAAAAAACAAAAATAAAAAAACTTAAAAAGCCCAAAGTAAAAAAAAATGATTAAAGCCTTTGTTGAGAAGTGACTACTTTAATTGATTTTTTTTTAATTTTTTATTATAAAAATATATGTAAAAAAAATGTGATATAATTTATAATGAGTTTTGAACTATATTAATCAAAGGAAGAGGCTTCGATTCAGTCCACTGTATGGACTGATGGATTAGAGCGTACTGGTAGGCCGTGGGACCCACCATGGGTCCCGTTTCGATGTTTCCGAACTGTTCAATGCGTAGAACTTGTTGAGTATTTCATGATCGTATATCAGTGACCCCTTGATCGGAACATATTTTTGTTAACAATTTATTTTTAAAATCATATTTACTATCGACAAAAATGTGTTCCGATCAAAAGGCTACTGATATCTGATCAACATGATTTTTTGTAGGCATGAAAAATTTAGCAAGCTCTATACATTGAACGGTTTGGATTATCGAAATGAAATTCATGATGAACTCCACAAGTCTAATAGTATGGTACAATCTACACAGTAGACTGGAGATGAACCTCCCCTGGATCAAAAACCAAAAAATACCTGAATATAAAAGAGACAGTGTAATTTATCCTTTTAAAAACAAGAGGGAGATTTCAATAATTATGATACACCTCATAGAAAGTTTCCTAACTTTCATTGGGTCAAGCTTATCTTCAGTTCGAAATCGAATTAATGCATATTGTTGGGTTCGTTGGCTTACTACGGAATTCACATCGATAGTCCGAAACCTTTTAAATATTTCATCTCTACAAAAAATTACGTTTATAAGATATCAATAGTCACTTGATCATAATAAGTTTGTATCAATGGTAACTATGATTTAAGAAAAAAAATACTGACACAAATGTGTATGATCAAGTGTTTATTGATATTCGATTAATGTAATATTTTACAATAATAAAGTACTCAATAAATCTTACATATTCAATGCTTTTGATCGTTGATATAGACTTCGCAGTGAACCCACAAAAGCCCACAGTCTAGTTGGAAGTTATTTGGGATGAACTATATAAGTGTACTTTTTATCTAAAAAAGTAGAGGAAAAAAATGATTGTTTGGGATAATTTTTTGACTTTTTACGAAAAATGTACGTAGTAAAATATTGTATAAAATACCAAAATTACTTTCTTACCCCTTTGCGTACTGACATGTTTTTTGTGCATGTCAGTACGGTTGCACAGTTGAGAGTTGTTGTAGTTATTGTTGTTTGCATGTCAACAAGGGCATTTTAGTTTTTTTACCCTCTGTGTATGCTGACTTTTTTTTCTATCCAATTGATTAGTGAATATTAATTTTTTTAGTAATTGTTTAACATTTTATCCTTTTTAGGGATCCCAAACAAGCACTTGACTTCTAATTGAAGTGCAGCTTATCCCTAAATCATTTTATAGGGCTCCCAAACATCTTCCACTCTGGGATATAGATTTGGAGTCACCCAAACAGACCTCTGACAGGTCTTTCCTCCCTCCCCGTGGCTCAGTGCCAGTCCTCTCCTGTGTATATTCTCTTTTTTTAATTCGCAATTTTTTGTCATCATCAACACAAATTATAGGAGAAGAGTTAGTATAGCTTGTGTATAAGAAACTAAGTGAACGGGAGAGAAAGCTAGGGAAATTGAGGATACCGGTTTTAAACTATATTATAATGGTAAGGATAGATGCAAGAATGAGGTAGGCATCATAATTGCCAAATGATCTTGTGGAGAGTGTAGTGGCAGTCACTAGGAAAGGGGATATGATTATGCTAGTTAAACTAGTTATTAGAGGGAATATAGTGAACGTTATTAGCGCATACGCCCCTCAAGTAGGATTAGATGATCAGACTAAGAGGGATTTTTGGGAGCAAATGGATGGGATCTTACAAGAGGTACCCGTAGGAGAGAACCTGGTTGTAGGTGGAGATTTTAATGGCCATATGGGCATAGATAAACTACGTTATGAAAGGGTTCATGGTGGATACGATTTTGGTGACAGAAATGAGATTGGAGAGAGTATCTTAGATTTTGCATTGGCTTCTGACCTGGTGGTGGCCAATACTATGTATAAGAAGAGAGAAGGGCATTTGATAGCCTTTAAGAGTGGATTAGTTAAGATCCAAATAGATTACTTCTTAGTGAGAAAAGTGGACCGCCTAAAATGCAATGATTGTAAGGTGATTCCTGGAGAGAGCTTGGTCTCTCAACATAGGATTTTGGTACTAGATTTATGTCTTAGAGGGCAATACCAAGCTAGGAAGGATGGTGGGCGTCGTAGGACGAGATGGTGGGACCTAAAAGGGGATAAACTAGAAATATTTAAGAATCGAATGGATAAGGAAGGTACTTGGGACTTAGAAGGTGATACTAACACTATGTGGAACTCGATGGCCAATTGTATGAGAAGAATCTCAAGGGAAGTGCTTAGAAAGTCGAAAGGAACGGGACCCAGTTCTAGGGAAACTTGATGGTGGAGGGAAGAGGTTCAAGCGATAGTTAAGGCAAAAAAAGAATGCTTTAAAAAGTGGCAAAATGATAGAACTGAGGAAAACCTTAAGAGCTCCAGATTGGCTAATAAGAAGGGAGGTCAAGAAAGTAGTGAGAGAGGCTAAGTTGAAAACTTATGATGACCTATATACTAGACTAGATAGTAAGGAGGGAGAGAAGAGGGTATACAAACTTGCTAAGATACGAGAGAGGAAAACAAGAGATTTTAATCAAGTAAAGTGCATCAAGAGTGAGGATTCTAAGGTATTAGTGAAGGATGAAAAGATTAAGGAAAGATGAAAGAATTATTTTGAGAAACTATTAAATGAGGAACATGGAAGTACGACAATAGGGGAAGAAATAATCAGTAATACGATAAACCAAGACTATAGGTTCTATCGCAGGATTAGAAATTTTGAAGTGGAGATTGCACTTAAGAAGATGAAATCAAATAAAG